TAAGGCGAGCGAAACGGTGGAGGGAAACGATGACCATGGTAGAGGAAACTGAAAAACCCTAGCCCATAAAACTCCTTAGCAGCTGGCCTTGAAACACGAATAGATCCTTAGCCCCGTGAAGAGTGCATTGCTCCGTTGCGTAACCGAGCGCGTGTTATTTGCAAGTTTCTTCCTCAGGCCTGCCCAGCCTGTGGACGTAGCGAATTAATATCTCGTTCTTAGGCTAATGGACTTCGTTTGAACAGATCCTTCCACTGATTGTTTGCCTATCGTGAACAGCGATGTTCATTGGCTCGCTACAACGAGCTTCCATCTTCGAGCCACGACAGAGGAACACAGTTTAAGAGAGTTTTATATAGATGTCCATCCAACGAGCCTCGCAATGACGAAATCTAATTTGTAATGATAATTCGATCGAATTACGATGAATATCCAATCTTGTTCAAGAGGCAAGCGTTTTCGTTACGTTGAGAATCTTGATTTGAAAGGCTCCGGAGATTTCGAGTGAAATCGATTATCAACAAAGTATGTAACGTGTCTGATATTGCTATCGCGATAGTTCGGAGCAGGTTTTATTAACAGGTGGAGATTACAAATTTTGCAGTAAACGTCGAACGATAATTGTGTCTCGATAGAGCCGCGTATAAACGGCAGGAAACGATGCCTGCGTGTCATCTGTTTACCGATTCATTCAGTTGTGTTACGATTTTGAGAAAAGATTGCTTCATTGAGCGGCAAAGTTATTCATTCCATGGCGTGTGAGTCACCGACGACGGGTTACCAGAGGCTTTCACTGGATGGACTGAGAAACAGTCTTTTGTGCATTATTCGAGCAAGATGAACCCGAAAGAAAGTAAGAGTGTAAACGAGCTGTTTAATTTTAATTTTTATGCTATGGAAGAAGCATAACCCTAGCGATACGTGTCACGATTGGGGTCATGTTCGTTCAACTTAATCACTATCGCCGATTTTTAAATTTTTAAACACAAACACCACTAACAAAATAGGAACCTGAATAGAAAATTGGTCTTTTTCTTTCT